TCCTCCTTCTTCTTCTTCTTCATGAACACAGTGCAAGTTGTGGCCTTTGCATGTTAAAATGAAACAGTTTCTATGGAAATTCCAGTACGAGGCTCTGTGGTCCTTCATGGCCTAGTCACTTCTGTTCCTCTTCCCTCCCCCTCCCCCTCTGTGACTACTACAGCATCCACCTCAGCTACCTCTTCAACTATGGTGAGATCAACTCCATTTGGCTGCTGTCGAGCCATAGCCTCCAACTTAAGGCAGTACTGTTCTGCCTCCTGCTCTTTCTTTAGGAGCTGGTGTCTGTATTGCTGGGCTCTTCGATTGGCCTCCTTGGAGTTGCTGCTGTAATAGTTTTCTTTCACTGCCTTCCTTGCTTTCTTCCACACTTTGTGACTTTTCTTCTTCTTCTTCCTCTTCAATTATAGTGTCCTCTGCAGCCTGACCAGCAGGTACAGTAAGAACTTGTTGTCCATCTTGCATAGTTACAATGAATGGCTGGCCAATGCTTCCAGTAGGGATTGTAGTTTGGATATTACCCAGAGGGACTCCATCAGTTACTATGGTGATGACCCTCTGACCTCCACTCCCCACCTCTTGCTGGATTGAAGAATCAAGAGAATTTCCTTCTTCAATTGATTCTAAATTAGCTGAGGTTGCTTTGGGGTTAGCCGAAGAAACAAGGCTAGTGAGGTTATCAACCTCTCTAGAGGTGAAGGTGAACGGAGTAGCCACAGTCACAGGGTTAGTCACAGGGTTGGCTCTCTGGGGGTTAACACTCATTTGATTCTGCATTGCTTCCTGGAGGATGACCAAAATCTCTGCATCGTTTTTCTCCAGTGCTATGTCAAAGACAGACTTACCAAACTTGCTAAAAGCATGGACATCAGCTCCATATTTGATAAGTAACTCAGCATCTCGGTGGTGATGCTCTGTAGCCCAGTGCAAAGCTGTCATCTTTAGCATGTCCTTGGCATTCACATCTGCACCATTCCTAACAAGCAGTTCTATGATGTGCACATGTCCATCAGCTGCAGCCATATGCAAAGGAGTCCTGTCCACTTTGGTCCGGGCATCCCTGCTAACACCTGCTTGAAGGAGTACTTCTGCTGTGGCGTAATGACCATACTGGGCTGCAAGGTGGAGGGTCATGCTGCAAGCCAGTCTGTGGTGAATGAGGCCCCATTTGCCATCGGTGTGCTCACTTCATCATCTTGGCCTTTTCTTGCAGCTTCTAGCAACCTCTTCCCCAAGTCCACCAGTGACATCTTTATGCATAGGAACAAAAGATTTCAGGTATCTCCGCCTCCGGGACGCTCCTGGCTGTGCTTTTGCCAGGCCGGCCAGTTTGCTCCTGTCCTGTCTCTAGTTAAACCTCCCTGTCAGCAACTTTGGGGACTTTCCGCTTATGCCTCAAACGAGGGGCCTCCCCCCCTCCCTGTGTAGAAAGGCAACACTTTTTTAAAGTAATTATTGGGACTGGGAATGGTGGTATACACCTCTAATCCCAGCACTCAGGAGGCAGAGCCAGTTAGATCTCTGTGAGTCTGAGCTCAGCTGGTCCACATAGTGAGTTCCAGGCCAGCTAGGCCTACAAGGAAACCCTGTCTTTAAAAAAAAAAAAAAAAAAGTAATTATTGGTCATGTATATTGGTACACACCTGAAATCCAGCATTTGGGAAATGGAGGCAAGAGGGTCAGGAGTTCAAGACCAGTCTCAGCTACATAGCAAGTTTGAAAAGAGCCTGGGCTACAGTAGATCTTGTCTCTAAAAAAAAAAATTGTAATTATTTTCTGAGTCCAAGTTTCATATCTTCATAGTGCTAGTCAAACCACCTTGGGGCTAGAGAGCTAGCTCCACAGTTACAAGCACTTGCTGCACAGTCATGAGAACTGGAGTTAGGATCCCAGCACCCATCTTATACACCAGACATTTGATACACACCTGTAACCCCAGCTCTCAGGGCAGTGGAGATAGGATCATTGGGGCTTGCTGTCTTCCAGCCTAGCCTAGAAACGCTCTGGGTTCAGGAAGAAACCCTGTCTCAAAGGAATAGGCAGAGCATGAAAGAAGAAGACACCCACACACGTACACTTATACTCACAGATACATAACCTAAATAAATAAATAACATTAAAAAATTTTTTGACAGGGCCTCACTTCCCCCATGTAAAAGAAAACATCACCTTCACCCACTTGTGACAGCCCATGATCCTCCTATGCATCCAGGTTCTGCCATACTGGTTCTTCCTGGCTGGCTATAGAACAGTCTTTGAACAAGAGGATGAGGAGTCAAGAACAGACATGGGCCCTTTGCCTCCCCAGAGTCAGACCCTGGGTAAGGGGTTTTACATACCATCTTGTGTAGCATTATCACACCAGTCCTAGGAAGTCTTCCCCATTGTATAGATGACAAAACTGAGGCTTAGAACAGAATATCATTTACCCAGGTTTCCCAGAAGCAGCAAGTTACCATGCTAAGACTGTGGTCTCTCTACCTCCCTGCCCCCCAAACTTAGTTTGGCTTGGATAATGGCCAAGGCCTCCCCACTACACATATACATATACATCAATGTTTTTAGAATCTGTACATGCCAAAGGCAACTCCTTGCCCTCCCCTGCCAAGCCCTCTTTCCTTTCTATGGGATCTCTGGTAAGCAGGACCGAGAGAGATTATGTGTAGCACCTGAAAGTATGAATGAATGAAGGGAAGCCCTCCAGTTCAGAAGGGAGAAATCTCTCACTCTCAGCTGCTGTGTTCATCAGTAATCCAGAGGCTGCTGTCAGCTCTGATCTCACAGAAGCTTCAATATTTCAGCTCCTCCAGAGCCTTGTTTCTTAGCAACCATATCACCATGCTTTCCATAAGGGCTGCCAGTCCATGTACTCTGCATCCCCTTCCTGTAGGTGCTGACCCTGATTGCCTTCATGGTCAGGTGGAAATGTTTCTATCAACCCTGTTGGGCAGTTTTGCTCTTCACAGCCCACCAGGGGTGACACTGTGTACAGGAGGCGAGTGCATGCCAGGTGAGGGAGAAGAGCAGCTTGGCACATTGCAGTTCTCTCAAGTCCATCATGGGCTGGTGGCAGAAAAATAGGATGGAAAGGGTTGGAAGGAGATCAGGGTAGCTCTCTGACCTGTCCCCTAGTTCCAACACAGGCCCTTGTCCCTGCCTCTATGCAGGCGTGGGAAAGAGGAATGTCTTCTCTCTAACCCAGGCTCAGATACTGTTTTCCTCTGTGGCCCAGGTGCGGTGGAGGCTTGTCTCCTGCATCAGATAAGGCGCCGTGCCGCTGGCTTCCTGCGCAGTGACAAGATGGCAGCCCTGTTTACCAAAGTGGGGAAGACATGCCCTGTGGCTGGGGAGATTTGCCACAAGGTGCAGGAGTTGCAGCAACAAGCAGAGGGCAGGTGAGGCCTGAGCCAGTCCTTGCCAGCATGCCTTCTGCTCCTTCCTGGGCATTTTCTGCTTCCCAGAACAGCCTTCCTAAAGGTTGGCTAGCCCTTGTCTTATAGGGCTTCTTGGGTGAGGGACAGTCCTAAAGTAAGGGTTGGCCCTCTGTAGTTTCAATATCTTATCTCCCACTCCTTACCCGAGCCCAGGGATTCTGAGCTCCTATCTAGTAGCAGCTCACTCCCTCTACCAACTTGGGGTCTGTGCCCCTGAAGCCCCCTTCTTTTTTCAGGAAACCCTCAGGAAGCAGCCAGGAGGCCATTCGGAAACAGGGCTCAACCAGCGGGAAGGCCCCGGCCCTCAGCCCGCAGGCTTTGAAACACATATGGGTACGCACAGCACTCATCGAGAAAGTTCTGGACAGGGTTGTACAGTACCTGGCCGAAAACTGCAGGTGACTGCCCCATCCCCCAGTTGCTCTCTCCCTTGGCCCACCTCAGCCCCACCCTTCTATATGCTTAACAATCTATGGCAACCTATAAACATGTCTCCACCCTCCTTTTAGCACCCCAGAGCATAGTACATGTCAGTAACCCCATAAAGCTTCATCCTACTGACTCATTCCTTCTTGGTGCCTGACATGAACCTGTCCCTATGGGCATGCCCTCTCCCTGGTGAGCTTGACCACCTTGGCCTGAATCCAGGATCCCTTGCAGTCACCCTGTCTGTCTCCTCCTTGCAGCAAGTACTATGAGAAGGAAGCATTACTGGCAGACCCTGTGTTTGGCCCGATCCTGGCCTGTCTTCTAGGTGAGCTTGAGAGCAAAAAGGCCTGTTCTGGGTCAGTGGGGTGAGGAGCAGGTGGCGAAGGAGCTCCATCTAAGCTAACTCCCTGTTTCCATAGTGGGACCCTGTGCCTTGGAATACACAAAGCTTAAGACAGCTGATCACTACTGGACTGACCCCTCTGCTGATGAGCTAGTCCAGAGGCACCGTATTCGGGGTCCCCCTAACCGCCAGGACTCCCCTGCAAAGCGCCCTGCTCTGGGGGTAGGTATCCCTCTCTCTTAGGCTCACTCATCCAGACTATACTCAGATTTCCAAGATAGTGTCCCAAGATCTGTCTACACTAGCACTTTCATAAATATGCTAATAGCCCTTGCCCTCGGCTGGAAAGCAGAGGATAACCTAAGGCAAACTGGGAGCAGGAATGGGCCTGGGGAGGCTAGAGAGGGCCCACAGGGGAGCCTGAAGGTTCCCAAGTCCTAAGGCCAATTTCCTGGGGTTAGGGAGGCTGAGCTATTCCTTTCCTGGCAGATCCGGAAGCGCCACTCTAGTGGCAGTACATCAGAGGACCGGCTAGCTGCCTGTGCCCGTGAGTACGTGGAGTCCCTGCACCAGAACTCAAGAACACGTCTGCTCTATGGCAAGAACAACGTGCTGGTGCAGCCGGTAGGAAGGCTTAATGCCACCCTCACCTGCCTCTAAAGAAGGTCCCTGACCAGAAGCCTCCAACCACTTTCTTTCCTAAAGAACTTGACCAGAGAGAGGGGAGCACCACCCCCTCCTCACTGTGTCATATGACTCATGCCCAGCTTGGAGTTGGCAGCAGACAGGGATGACATCTGCCCTGGCTAGCTGAAAACCAGGCTGTCTAGGGTTAAGATGGCAGCCAGCAGGCAGGGTGAATGCCCAGCATGGGTGTGGCTGGCCAGTGACACATCTGGCATCCAGGGGACTGACAGGACAGAGACAGTGGCACTAGGCCAGCCAGGAAGAAGAGATGCCCAGATCTGCCACGTGACTTCTGTTTTTCCTTGCTTCTGTCGGGTCTCCAGCCCCGGTACCCCATTATTGGCCTGGCCTGTTCCCACTCGAGCTCATTCTTAGGGGCCATTCCATGAGCCTCATTGTTTCTGTGTCTCATATGTCTCCTTCCTACAGAAAGAGGACATGGAGGCTGTTCCTGGCTACCTCTCCCTACACCAGTCTGCAGAGAGCCTAACTCTGAAGTGGACCCCCAACCAACTCATGAATGGGACCCTTGGGGACTCTGAGCTAGAAAAGAGGTAGGGCTTTTGTTCCTTCTCTCAGGAAGCAGGTAAGGCAGTGGGAGCTTGACCTCAGGCAAGGGGACAGAGAAACTATGCAGGCCCCATGAGGCAAGCCTTATTCCTTATTCCAGTGCCAAGAACTGTAAGGAAAGCATGGCTGCCTGGAGTGATTTCCAAGCCCTTTAAGACTAAGCTGTGCCTGGCAGTGGAGAGGTTTGTCTGAGCCAAACACTGGGCAGCTCAGACTTGTGGCTCTATGCCAGGAGGACAGCATGAGGCTTAGAGGGACAGGGCTGGCCAAGGTCACTGCTTGGCTGTGGCTACCCTATCTTCAGTGTAGTTGCAAGGGGAGATAGGGTCAATTGACAAGGCGGGTCCTGGGACATGGTGACACAAAAATGGTTCCTTTTCAGTGTTTACTGGGACTATGCCCTTGTGGTGCCCTTCAGCCAGATTGTCTGCATCCACTGCCACCAGCAAAGTGAGTCTGCTTGTCTGAAGCGCAGGGATGGGAGGGCAGACACTTCCTCTTAGTATACTTTGCGTGGGGCCTGTCAGACTTCTTATGTTCCTCTCACTGTTCTTATTTTTATTTACTTAATTACTTTGTAGTGCTAGGGATCAAATTCAGGGCTGTGTACATGCTGAGCGTGTGTTCACCACTGAGCCACACCCCTAGCCCTTCCACTGTTTTGTTTTGTTTTTTACATTTATTTATTTAGTGTATAGATGTGGCTAAGTACTCACATGTGCATGCTATGCCACAACACACATGTGGAGGTCAAAGGATAATTTGTGAGAGTCAGTTCTCTCCTGTGGGTCTCAAGATGGGGATGAAACTTAAGTTCCTAGGCTTTGTGGCAAGTACCTTTACCTGTAGAGCCATCTCTCCAGGTCCTCACTGTCCCTATTAATGAAGTACCCAGGTCACATTCTAGCCTGACTATCCTTGTTCCTAACCTGGGGAATCTAGGGACTGGGGTGATGGGTGGAGAGGTCTCAGGGAGGGCCCAGCCTCACTTGCAGGTGTTCACCCTCTAGAGAGCGGTGGCACGCTTGTGCTGGTGAGCCAGGATGGCATCCAGAGGCCGCCACTGCACTTCCCACAGGGAGGACACCTGCTGTCCTTTCTGTCCTGTCTGGAGAATGGGCTGCTGCCTCGTGGACAGCTTGAGCCCCCGCTGTGGACCCAGCAGGGGAAGGTACCTTGGCAGGGGAGGCTCTGGGTGCAGGGCTGGTGAAGGAAGGCCTCCTCCTTTCCTTTCCCATACAGTTCTCAGGAACAGCTTTGCTTTGGACCTTGGATGGGACTGTGTGCTTGACAAGCTGACCATCTGCTCCCTCTGCAGGGCAAAGTGTTCCCTAAGCTACGGAAACGCAGCAGCATACGGTCCATTAATGTGGAGGAATTGGGTGTGGGACGGGCCACAGACTACGTGTTCCGGATCATCTACCCTGGGCACAGGCACGAGCACAGTGAGTGTCTCCATTTTCCCCATGGAGAAAGCTCAGAATGTTGGGGAGCACTGCATCACTCAGGAGGCAGGCAGGGCCCATTGGTCAGGCTGGGTTAAGAACCTCTTGGTTCATCACTTAATCTCCCCACTGAATCTTTCACCTACAAGAAAACTTGCCTGTCTTCTACCTAGCTGTCTTCCCTACCCCACCACCCTGAAGCTCTCTGCTCAGCAAACCAGTCGTCACTATATAAAAGTCATTTTTTTTCATGCCATGCTTCAGAAAACAAATGTGGGACTAGATGTATTAATAGAAAGTGGAGAACTTCCCATCTCTCTTCAGCCTGATATAGAAGGTAGAGAACTCTACACCCCTCTCCATCCCCATTACCCAACTTCTATGAAGAGGCCTGGAAAAGTCTAGGCATGGAATCTGTACTTCTTTTTGGACAGTGCAAGTTATTTACTGACTCTTCTAGAACAAGAGTCCTCCTCAAACCAGCTCCTAATGCAGACACAGAGGTTACATCTGAAGCAGGGTGAGCCCCGGAGCTTGGTTGTTAAGGGCTGGGGGCCTGAATGTGACTGGGCCCTCAGGGGATCCTGTTCCATCCCAGTTACACACCTGGGCAGAAGGGCATCTATTGATAAGTATCTGCCAGTACCAGTTTTATTTCTGGTCAGAATGCTGCTGCTATCCATGGGATTTTCTGGACCAGACTTGCATTTCTTTAAGATAAGGTCAAGGAATTTGCCAGTTCACAGCACTTACTGCCAACCAGACCACCTGCTCCCCACATTTCCTAACTTCTGCCAAAAAGTTCTCAGTAGTTGTCTGTGTTGATGGGCAGATGACCCAGACTTCATACAGATAGCTACAGCACAACTCATCCCAATAGGCTAGGAAAACCCAGGCTTAGGGGAATCTATTCCTCCTAGATGTGCCAGGCAAAGAGATAGCTAAAACCAGAATATGTTGCAGACTGGAATTTCACCTCAGGCTTTGCTTGGTTTAGCTTTTTCTGTCTCTGCTTCCCTTCTTCAGTCTATGACACTTCCATTCTAGTCACATCGCTGTAAAGAGCACTTCCTTCCCTAGAGGATGAGCCAGGGCATCAGGAGCTGAAACTCAAGTTAAGTGGCATTAGCTCCTCAAGGATGGCTTTGAGAAAGCCCTGGAAAAAGAAGGTTGAATTTATAGTCCGAAAAGAGGGATTTGGAGTAATCTTTAGATTCAGTCCAAGCTGACCATAGCATAGCTGAAGAATAATCAGGATCTACCTGCCAGTAGTCCTGGCCAGCCTTAATCAGGACTGGTACTCCTGTACATGCACGTACATGTTCTCCTCTCTCTCTCTCTCTCTCTCTCTCTCTCTCTCTCTCTCTCTCCCCTCTCTCCCTCTCTCTCCTCTCTCTCCTCTCTCTCCTCTCTTCTGTTCTTCCTGTAGAGGACCCTTGCAAACAGTGGAGCTCTGTAGGTACCTCTCAGCCCCTCGCCTTCTTCCATCCTTTCCTAATAAGCACCAGAAAGTTCCCAGACCACTCCCGCTTCCCTCTTCTGTGCCTTGCAGGTTCAAGGTGATCCCCACCTCCATGCCACTCATTTCAAGGAGGGAGTTGGTCTCTCCTGCCCAAGGACTAGGGTCCTCATGCCTCTGCCTCTCTCGCTATTCTCTTTGAGCAGTCACTATTAACTACCACCACCTAGCTGCCAGCCGTGCGGCCTCGGTGGACGATGATGAGGAAGAGGAAGATAAACTACACGCGATGCTCTCAATGATCTGCTCGCGGAACCTCACAGCTCCCAATCCGATGAAAGGTTTTTATCCCTCCCAATCCCTGACTCACCTCATCCTACACCCTACCCCCCTGGGCCCACCTGCCACCCACAGCAGGGGCTCAAACAGCAGTGTTGGCATTAGGGGACTTGCATCCAGGCCTGTTTCCTTCTGTCAGAAGGCAAATCAGGGAGGGCACAAAGGAGGCCAAACAGGTGCTGGCAAGAACGAACAAATGACTCTGGATGAAGAGGGACTTTAAGCTGAAAGAGAAGGAGCACCATTGAGGGGAAGGACTGGCTATATGATGACTGTGGCATGACTACTCCTGGTAGTCAGGCTGACAAATGCCAGTCAGTGGTCTCTTTCATTCTCTCTAGTCACGGCCCTGTGCTTCTGATTCTGACTTCACAAGATATAGGCTAGAAGCAGAGGTAGGAGCTGGACAGGTCCTGTGAGGGGTGAGGGTCACCATGAGAAGAGACCTCAGAGCTTGGCCTTCCCAGCAGGCACGAAGGCTACAGTATGCTACCTAGTACTTTAATATGAAACCCAGAAATACCTGCTGCAAGGTGTCCAGGAACTGGTACAGGTTCACAGCAGCAACATGAATTCCTATTCCACATGCTCCTGGTGCATTATGGGTTTGAACAAGTATTTCACCATCCCCAGTCTGTTTTCTCACTGGTGGTAGGTACTGTGCCAAAGAGGCAAAGAGGCTTCCTTGGTACGTTCCTGCACTCCTGGATCTCAGAGTCCCTGGAGGCAGGGGTCTTCTATGGAGACAGCACAGTACAGTACCCAAACCCCCACAGTATTCCTCTATCTACCATCTTCTTAGAACAGAGCTGACTTGGTGTGAAGGAACCCCACTCTTTTTGCAGAGCCATGAATCAAGGGGCCATTGTGAGGGCTGATAAAGGGCTCATGGAAAGGCTGGGCAGACAGAGACTGAGGCTAGCTCTTGGAGGTTTGAGAATTCCCCCATCTCCACTATTTCCATGCCACAGAATTGTTTCTTTTCTTTTGCTATCTCTTTTGCTACACAGGGTCTGTTACACCACACTCTCTTAGGTTTCTTCAAAGTTATGCCAGGCATGGTGGTGCACGCCTCTAGTCCCAGAACTCAGGAGACAGAGGCAGGCAGATTTCTGTGAGTTCAAGGCCAGCCTGGTCTACACAGTGAATTCTAGGCCAGCTGGGGCTACAGGGAGACCGCCTCAAAAAGACCACACACAAAAAAAGTTCTATTATAGAGCATATTTCCTTAACCTAGTCACCCAGCCAGTAAGAATGAGCTTCCCTTTCATGCCAGCCAGGTCCATGGTTCAGAACACATCCAGTACCCCTCAGCCCACGCTGCCAGCTGTTCTTCCTGCCACAGGCCTGCTTTCCCTCCCAGCCCTGTAGGCCAGGTCCAAGTGAGAACATCTTACTTCTCAATTAACTGCCCTCACATACCCATGCAGTCTGGTTCTTTGAATCATAGGCTGCTACTAATTTACAGGCTAACTGACCTTGAGCAGTATGGGAAGGTTGAGCTCTGGGAAGGCTGAACTCAGGGAGAGAGAGCTCATTGCCCGATGAACTGGTCCTCAGGTTGAAGACTAGATGGTCCTAGCAGAGCCATTTTGGCAAACTTGACAATAGAACAGACTGACTGCTGGATGTTGACACACACACACACGCGCGTGTGTGATTCCAGCACTTGGGAGATAGAGGGAGGAGATTCAGGAGTTCAAAAAAGAAAAGAAAGCCCATTGACAGTTCTTGGGACTAAGGTCTCCAAGAGCAGACTTTTAAGCCCATAAGTCCAGAGGCTTTGGAATTGGTCCAGGCATCCTCTTACAGAACTTAGGGGTTAGAGCAACCCCTTATATAACCTCTGTGCCCCCAGTACTTAAGGGAGGGGAACAGGCATGAGAAGAGGATCCACTGGGAAATAGGGATGGGGGATATGGGAGCTCCTGGCTATACTCCAGTCCATAATGACAACACTGTTGAGTCCATTCTGCTAGCCGTTGCTTTTTCAAGCCTGCAACATGCTTGACTTGTGCATGTGATTCAAGTGGCGGTGTGTCCAGGTCTCCTCCCACCTCTTCTGTTTTCCCGCTGCCTCCCTCACAGAGCAGAGATGCTATTCACTCTAATTCTGCTCCAGGCTAGGCACCTTTCACTCGGAGTCCTCGGGGCTGTGGGGTTCATCTGCCCTGATTGTTTGCTTTATACTTTCCTCATGCTCAGAGGAGAGAGTCAGAGTCAAAACTGACCCAGCAGATCCCCCATCCAGCCTGCTGCCCCCTCACCCAGTCACTCCAGAGCTCCAGCTGTCTGCACTGGGTTGTCACAGTGTGCAATGCTGCCTGGTTCAGCTCCTTCCTGGAGAATTAAGGTGAAGAGCATTGACCCAGGAGCCTTGCCTTGGATGGGCCCAGCTTTCTGGGCATGAGCTTGTTTCCCTCTGTGCCCACCCTTCACCGTCTGTCTGTACCTGTCGCCATCCCTGTCTGCTGCCTGCTGCCTGCCTGGCTGGGCTGACTCCCTCCCACCCTCCAACCTCCTCCCACAACTGGCCACCTGCCTGCCACAGGGGCATGAGCTAAGTTCCCATCCCCCACCCCCACCACCTGTACTTGTTCCTTGCTGGTCCCAGAGTCTTGGGCATGGCTTGCAATCCCTCACTCCCAGAGCCGCAGTCCCCCTCACCAAGTATATTCCCTTAATTTGCCTCCTAGTGGAGCTGAAGGACCAGATACCAGCACAATCCCAGCCCTGGGCCTGAGGAGCCATAAGGCAGGGTAGCTCCTGAAGGGACTGGAGGGAATCAATTCAGTCCTCTGCACCAAGGGACGGACACCATAGCTGGAGTCTGGCACCCAAAAAAAAACCAAGCCTAGGCCTGTTCCAGACCATGGCAGGCCAAGAGTTTCTTGCTAGATTCACTGAGAAAACTTCAGCACGTGGCTCTCTCCTTGTTCTTCATACTTTCTGCCTTTTTCCTTCCCTCACAGTGTCACCTCCAGTCATTCACTTCCCTTCACCATGTTTCCTCTCTGTGGCTCTTTGCATTGCCAACATCTACCCTGAACAGTTTCTTGTGCCACTCAGGCCCTAGAAACTCTAAAGAGTTTTGATTCCATTCTAATTCAGCCCAACAGAACTGAGGCACTCCATCTACATACAGAGGTACAGACATGTTTAAGGAGCCGTCTTCTGATGCTACACCTTGGCATGGTCAGCTATGACTGGTGTATTGGATGACTGGGCCTTGTGCCCAGACACCACTTCTGCTCCCAAAGGCTCTGCCAGCCCTGGGAAGTTTGTCCTCCCTTCCAGCTCACAGGAGAGCCACCATGCAGAATACAGTCAGAGTAGACCTCATGGCATATGACTTGGGCAAGGAGCACTGTTCCTACTTAGCCACCAGCCACAAGATAGAATCCCTTGGAAGGGCAAAGTCAGTGAAGCAAGTGGCCTAATGTTCCCTCAGGATTTTTGGTAATTGATACCAAACACCTTCCTGAGCAACACAGAGTTTGCCAAAAAGAACCAGGCTAAACCCCTAAAAGCCAGGCTAACTGGCAGCATTTCAGAGAGCTGAGGCCTTTGCTTATCCTTCTCTTTCCTCTAGAAAAGTTCTTTCCTCTAAAAAAGCAAGTGTTTTCTGGTAGTAGATGGAGGTGGGTAGACATAATCACCCACAACTCAGTCCAAGTATTCTGTCACATTCAGAAAGCCACCAGGCTGCCCTTTTAGGCTCGGGGGAGGCTGGGCAGTATCAGGTGCCCTCTCCACTGTTTGCATTTCTGGGTTCTTGACCAGGCAGGCACCACCCTGTGGTTCTTCACCAAATGGGTGACTTTGTCTGCAGCTCTGGGCACAGGGGTGGGCATGCTGCAGGGTGCTTCGGGGAGGAAGCCTGCCAGGCATTGACCATGGCCTCTTCCTGCCCTCAGATGCTGGTGACATGATTGAGATGCAAGGGTTTGGACCAAGCCTGGCAGCCTGGCATGTGGAGGCCCTATGCAGCCAGGGCTCCTCTTGCCTCTCCTGCTCCTCCAGCAGTTCCCCATATGCAACCCCTAGCCACTGCAGTTGCATCCCTGATCGGTGAGTAGGTAGGCCTGGAACACCAGCCTCTTGTATCTACTTGTGTGTGTCCTTCTGTCCTTACAGGCTGTGTCACTGGCATGACAGCGTGGCCTCTTAAGTTGGACAGTCCTAGGTTGAAATTTCACTTATGCTACCCATGTGACCTCAGCAAGTTGCTGAGTCCCATGAGAGCCTCTGTTTTTGAAGCTGTTTCCTCTCCTGTAAAATGGGTAATACAACCTGCTTGTGAGGATCATGTCAATGCTATACAGTTGTGCCTGTACACAGTAGGTGTCCCCATGTGGACATCCTGCTGTCAGGCTGTATGTCTGGGGGCAGATACTTGGCACCTGCCATGTGTGAAAGAAATGTGGGAATGACTTTGTGTGGGCCAATTGAGGAGTACTCTCTTTCACCTGTCACTTTACTTTTTTTTAATTTATTTTTTTTAATTAATTTATTTATTTTTCTCATCTTTTTGAGACAGGGTCTCCTTGTAGCCCCAGCTGTCCTGGAACTCACTATGTAGACCAAGCTGGCTTCGAACTCACAAAGATCTGCCTGCCTCTGCCTCCCAAGTGCTGGGATTAAAGGCGTGCACCACCATGCCCAGCTTTTAAAAATTTTTTTTTTTTTTGTCTTTCTGAGACAGGGTCTCCCTGTGGCCCCAGCTGTCCTGGAACTCACTATGTAGACCAAGCTGGCTTCGAACTCACAAAGATCTGCCTGCCTCTGCCTCCCAAGTGCTGGATTAAAGGCGTGTGCCACCACGCCCGGCATTTATTTATTATTTTTATCTTATGTGTATGCATGTATTGCCTGCATGTAAGTAAATGCACCATGTCGTGCAATGCCCTAAGAGGACAGAAGAGGCTGTTGGATCCCCTAGAACTGGAGTTACAGACAGTTGTTAGTTGCCCTGTGAGTGCTGGGATTCAAACCTGGGTCTTCTCCAAGAACAGCCAGTGTTCTTAACTGCTGAGCCATCTCTATAACTAGTCACTTTACTTTTTTTTAATTTTATTTTATGTGCATGTGTATATTGCCTGCATGTAGGTAAGTGCACCCGTGTCGTGTAATGCCCGTGGAGGATAGAAGAGACTGTTGGATCCTCTGAAACTGGAGCTACAGACAGTTGTTAGCTGTTATGGGGGTGCTGGGATTCGAACCCAGGTCTTCTGCAAGAACAGCCAGTGTTCTTAACTGCTGAGCCATCTCTCCAGCCCCCTAGTCACTTTACCTGTCATTTCTGGTGGTCCTGAAGTGTCTGTCCATTTACACTCAGGAAATCAAGATTCACTGGAGCAAAGCTTGCTACCCAAATTGTCTAGGTGGTTCTGGCCCAGACAAGGCCCCCAACAGCAATATATCAAAGATGATTGGCAAGATGGGGAGCTTGTTGTTGTGCTGCCATGGTGTAGCTTTCTCTCTCTACACTGCCTCAAGCATCTTGCCTGCTGCCACACCCTGCAAGCCACAATGTCAGTATCCCCCTCCTTCTGAACCAGATTGTTTCCACAGGTTGCCCCTCAGGCTGCTGTGTGAGAGCATGAAGAGGCAGATTGTGTCCCGGGCCTTCTATGGCTGTGAGTGTTTGGTGAGGCAGGGGTGTGAGGGCTGAGGATGGGGAGGCACCTCAGTCACAGCCCCCCTCTGCCCATTATAGGGCTGGCCTACTGTCGCCATCTGTCCACAGTGAGGACCCACCTGTCAGCACTGGTGCATCACAACATTATCCCACCTGACAGGCCCCCTGGGGCCTCAGGCGGCCTCACCAAGGATGTGTGGAGCAAGTATCAGAAGGACAAAAAGGTGCAAACTTAGGTTCTGAGGTCAGAGACTGGGCTGGAGGTGCCAATAGGCAACAGTTATGCATAGCCGCTGGCTCTAAGAGCTGCTTTTATAAACTGAATGGACCTTCAGAGTAAAATATAGTGAGGGTTGGGGCATACAGGCCAGGACTGATAGCTACGGGGTAACTTGTATCACCAGAGAAATACAGCTGGGTCCTTGCATGGGAAGGGTCTGGTCTGGGAATCTGATCTACTTCCATATTGATCTGAGACCTCAGGCAAATCTTTGCTTCTGTTTGGGCTCCATTCCTCCCTATGAAGAAGGGGGTGAGACTAGATCTCTAGCTGTAAACCGGGCATAGGAAAACATGACTCTCCGAAGCAAGGTTTGCCTGGTCTCCAGCAGAGCCACTAAAGCTCAAGCCTATTCCTCCCTGGATTGGGGCTTGGCCACTGGGCCACAGTAACTGGAGTTCACACAGTCTTCACCCACTGTATCCCTCAGAACTACAAGGAGCTAGAGCTGCTTCGGCAGGTTTACTATGGAGGTGTGGAACATGAGATTCGCAAGGACGTCTGGCCCTTCCTGCTTGGCCACTACAAGTTTGGCATGAGCAAGAAAGAGATGGAGCAGGTAAGGGAGCATACTCCTATAGGGCCAAGGAGATAGCTAGGCAAGGGAACCCAGGGAGGGGGCTGTTAAAGCCTCAGCCCCTTCCTAACCAGAAAGAAACAGGAGAGGAAGATGGTAGCAGAGCAGCTCCGCAGTCCCCACTGAGGCTCTGTTCTAGTCCAGCTGTCTCAGCCTGAGTTTCCTCTGGGCCAAAGGTCCAGTGCCTACCTACCCCTGAGAAGGCCCTAAGGTACCCTCCCCATGGTCATGGTGTGGTCTGAGCACAGGTGGATGCAGCAGTGGCAGCAAGGTACCAGCAGGTGTTGGCAGAATGGAAGGCCTGCGAGGTGGTGGTGAGGCACCGGGAACAGGAAGCTCACCCAGCCACACTCACTAAGTTCTCCTCGGGCAGCAGCATCGACAGCCATGTGCAGCACCTCATGCACCGAGATTCCACCATCAGCAATGATGTGAGCCAGATTTGGGGTGGGGGTGGTTTGGGGAAGGAATGGTGGGGCCCTCCAACTTCTTAGGTATAGGGACCCTGAGCACTGGGCCAGCCTCTAATACTCACTGGCAGCTGGCCTCTGGGCAGAAGGCTTCATGTGTCAGTGTCTCAAAAGTTTCACCTGGGGGCTGGAGAGATGGCTCAGCAGTTAAGAGCACTGGCTGCTCTTACAGAGGACCCAGGTTCAGTTCCCAGCACCCACATGGCAACTAACAGGTCATAGCTGCAGTTCCAGGGGATCCAGTGCCCTCTTCTGGCCTCCACAGGCATTGCACACACCTGGTACACTTAAATGCATACAGGCAGAACACTCATATACATAAATAAAAAAATTTTGGGGGGTCTTTTTGAGACAGGGTCTCCCTGTAGCCCCAGCTGGCCTGGAACTCACTATGTAGATCAGGCTGGCGATGAACTCACAGAGATCCGACAGCCTCTGCCTCCCAAGTGCTGGGAGTAAAGGCGTGCACCACCATGCCCGGCCCAATAAAAATAATTTTTAAGTAAAAGTTTAAACCTGAAAAATAGGCAACTATTACTCTGCAGCTAACTTCTCTGAGTACCATGGCACTAAAATGAGTTAGTATTTTGTGTTTTATTTCAACTGAACAGCAGAGAAAGATGAGTCTTTGGGAATTTGGGGAAGTTCCTCTTTCCTTATAGTGAGAAGGTGGGATAGCCACAGATACCCCTGGGTTCTAGTACTAGATCCACTATTGGTGAGAGCATTGTCTCTGAGCAAGAATGCCCTGTCCCTGGCGTAGGTTTCCCTTTGCTTTCATGTCTCTGATTGCAGAGGTTTTTTTGAAAGTTGTTGGCCAGAGAACATAGGAGCACCTAGAGCTCCAGTGTTGTCCACTGGTAGAGTCCTCTGTGCTCTGCAGTGTTTCTGCCCTTAGAGAAGTGACTGTCAGAGGAAATTGAGCACATTGGTGGACAGTTCTTCCTGGTATCACTTTTGCCTTTAGAACACAAGTTCTAAACCATGACCAGCCAACTTCCAAGTCTCTTTTTCCTTTTTTTACTTACCTCCCCTCCCCTCCACCCTCCCTCCCTCCCCTCTTACTTTCCCCCACCCACTTTTACCTTGTAGCCCAGACTGGCATTTAACTCAAGATCATCCCGCCTTCATCTTCTAAATTCTGGGATTATAGGCATGAATTACCATACTCATACTTGACATAAGTCCCCTCCCCATTTTTTTTTTTTTTTAGATAAAGTCTCACTAGTCTCTATATAACCCTGGAACTAGCTATGTACACCAGACTGGCCTTGAACTCACAGAGAAAGATCCTCTTCCACCTGTCTGTCTCCTAACTGGTGGGATTAAAGGCATCCACCACCACACCCAGCTTTTAAGTTTCCTTTTTAGGGACACTTTTATTAATTTGTGTTTTTCCTTTAAAATTCTTTCCAAAGCATAATGACATGTATGTATGAAAATGCCATGATTAAGCCTCTTACTTTGTATGCTAACCTAACAAATTAATATTAAAAAGCCAGGTTTGGTGTCTAACATCTGAATTCCCAGCACTCTGGAGGTAAAGGCAGATCCTTCAGCTACATAGCAAAGTCAGAGCCAGTCTGGACTACATTAGCCCCTGTCACAAAAAAGAAAACAAAACACTAATCAAAATATTTTCTTTAGATAATGTATATTTTTATTACTATCACTAACATTAACAGAAAACATAAGGTAGTGCAATACTAAAAGAATCGTAACTTGGGGCTGGAGAGATGGCTCAGCGGTTAAGAACACTGGTTGTTCTTGCAGAAGACCTGGGTTTGAATCCCAGCACCCACATGGCAGCTAACAACTGTCCGTAACTCCAGTCCCAGGGGATCCGACGGCCTGTTCTGACCTCTGCGGGCATTGCACGACACGGATGCACTTACCTACATGCAGGCAATACATGCATATACATAAAATAAAAATAATAAGCCAGACGTGGTGGTACATGCCTTTAATCCCAACATTTGGGAGGCAGAGGCAGGTGGATCTCTGTAAGTTCGAGGCCAGCCTGGTCTACACAGTTCCAGGACAGCTGGGGCTACAGGGAGACCCTGTCTCAAAAAGATAAAAAACAAAACAAAACAAGAATTATGGGGTCTCTAGGCCCCTTTCTTTCTGCATCAGTGACAGGAAGCTCTAGAGTGCAACACACAAGCAGGGTCTGCCTTCATTTGCCCAAAGCCTTGTTTCTTTTACCTGGTTGGCTGGGTTAGAAGATGGTTGGGGCTGCAGAAGCCCAGGGCTGAGGTGTTGGAGGTTGGGGATGGGAGGAGGGAATGTGAAGATAATTCTCTGTCCTGTCCCCATTCTGACCCAGGAAAGATCCTGGAGTGCAGAGTGGCGCCATCATCTATTTATTCCCAGCAGGTGTTTATCTCTGTGGATGATCTGGAGCTCCCGGGGCCTCAGGACCCTGAAGATTGCACACCAAAGCCAGAGGAGGAAGTAGAAACTGGGACTCCTGGCACAGCCATGGTGGAGGAGCAGCAGCAGTCAGTGGAGTTTGACTCTCCAGACTCAGGGTTGCCTTCTTCCCGAAATTACTCTGTGGCCTCAGGCATCCAGTCCAGCCTAGATGAGGGACAAAGTGTGGGCTTTGAAGAGGACGGTGGTGGAGAAGACTCTGATGGGACAGCCACTGCAGCCCATACCTTCTCTGAACCCCAGGATCCCAGCCAGGAAAAGAGTGTTCGGGCCAGTGAGCTGGAGGCAGGGGAGGAGCTGGCAGCTGTGTGTGCTGCAGCCTATACTGTAGGTGGATGTTCCCTGGCACTCTTGTCAGTGGCTCTGGGAGACCTGACATCCTAACACTGGGGACTGGCTGCAGGGGAGAGTGGGTGGTATGGCTGACCTGAAAGGGAGCTCTGAGCTCATCTCAGCATCAAGAGGGCTTTGTTCTCAGAGGTCTAGGGTCCAAGTTGGCTGGGTTTTCTTTGTTTGGGCACCACCTCCTACCCAAACTGGGAGGCATTGACCAGCCTCACCTCTGAGAGCCACCCACTTTTCCAGATAGAATTACTGGACACCGTGGCCTTAAATCTCCACCGCATAGACAAGGATGTGCAAAGATGTGACCGCAACTACTGGTACTTCACACCCCCCAACCTGGAGCGTCTCAGAGACATCATGTGCAGGTGCCATTGTGGGGCAGGCTCCAGGGGTGCAGCAGGGACCCCAGCCCATGCCCAGCTCCACTCGTTCTCTGTAAGGTCCAGCAGACATCTCCCTCACTGGAGTCACTGCCATCTGTCTGAAACACTCCCAGCAGCAGCACCTACCCCATGCCTCTGCATTTCCAGAGGTCCTTCAGGTTCTCACCAGGTCCACACTCAGGAAATCTTACCTGTTTTCACTCCCCTTCCCCTCACACCAAGCCGGGGTAGGGTAGCCTCTTGTCTCCCACTCCAAGTCCGCTAGTAGAGTGCCTTGGGGACAAGGGCCATTGTTAACTCTTGCTGCCTCACAGGGAATAGCCACAATAAATGCTTCAGGGCTGTGGAAAGGCTGACTTGTGGGGAACAGGCTGTTTTGGGGGCCATGTTCCCTGTAATCTCCAAGGAAAGGGAAGAGCACAGCCACAGTGACTGTCCCTGGTGTTTCAGCTACGTGTGGGAACACCTGGACGTGGGATATGTACAGGGCATGTGTGATCTGCTGGCACCTCTTCTGGTCATCCTCGACGATGGTGAGGGATGGAGTGTGGGGCTTACCAAGGTGGAACTGGGTTTGGGGTGACATAATGGAAAAGGAGATGGTGACTAGGTCCAGAAGACTGGGAATGAGAGTCAGCCTCCTCCAGGCATCGCAGGCCTCACTCCCATCTCCTTGCAGATCAGCTAGCCTACAGCTGCTTCAGCCACCTCATGAAGAGGATGAGCCAGAACTTCCCCAACGGTGGTGCCATGGACACCCACTTTGCCAACATGCGTTCCCTCATCCAGGTGAGTTCTGCAGCTGCCCAGAACTTCCCACCTCCTACCCAACCTGGGAAGCATTGACCAACCTCACCTCTGAGAGCCACCAGAACTAGGTTCTGGTGCTGTTGGGCTTGTCCATCAGCCATAGGGAAGCCGAAGACTGGGTTAGAAATGTCCTTTACCTGTAAATTTTACTTCATTTACTTATTTAGATATTGGGTCTTGCTATATAGTCCTGGCTGGCCTGGAATTCACTATGTAGTCCTGGCTGGCCTCCAACTTGCAGTGATGTTCCTGCCTCTGCCTCCTTAAATGCTGAGATTATAGGCATGTGCCACCATCCCCAGCAGAATTTCCAAATTTCCTTCACTTTAAAAACATAATTCTACACATGAGATGTGGAGGTAGGAAGATTACACAGTGAATTTGAGGGCAGCCTTAGGTACAGGAGACTCAACAAACTAAAGCACTGTGTGTGTGTGTGTGTGTGTGTGCGCGCGTGCGTGCGTGCGTGTGTACATACATAATAAAAGTAGTAGGCACTGTGGCTCACACCTGTAATCCTACCACTTGGGAGATGGAGGCAACAGTATTAAAGATTGCTGTGAGTTCAAGGCAAGCATGGGCTAGAGTGAGAACCTGTCTCAAACAAAAATAAGAAATAAGTAAGTAGGACTGGAGAAAAAGCTTAAGTCAGTAAAGTGCTTGTAAAGTAAGCATGAGGGCCTGAGTTCAGTCCCCATGACCCTTTTTTTGTTTGTTTGTTTGTTTTTGAAACAGGGTCTCCCTTATAGCCTCAGCTGCCCTGGTACTCACTATGTAGACTGTAGACCAGATTGGCCTTGAACTCAGGGATCTGCCTGCTTCTGCCTCCCAAGTCCACAGAAGTGACCAAAGAAAAAGGTGTGCACCACCACACCTGGCTTAATAAAGGGTTTTGTTGTTTTTGTTTTTTTAAATGAGGTAGCTCAGCGATAAGGTGCTTGCCTAACATGAAAAGCCCTGCATTGCATCCCCAGCATCCCATAAAAAATAGTTATCTGTATTATAAATTGAATAGAAAGGTACACACATGCTTGAATCTGCGTTCTGGTGAATAGTGGTGTTGGTGATGGAATCAAACACCCAGAAACTGGTTTAACTCCAAAAACTATGCAAACTAGAGACAGAAGGAGCAGCAGGGTGCAGCTGCCAGTGGGACAGGCCTGGCACAGTGACGTAGGATGGCTGAGGGTGACCCTGGGTGTGGCAGGTGAGGGTGACAGAGAGGCAGCTCAGATCAGTATCTCTCCCTCTCCCCCATGAGATCCTGGACTCAGAGCTGTTTGAGCTAATGCATCAGAATGGAGATTACACCCACTTCTACTTCTGTTACCGCTGGTTCCTGCTGGATTTTAAGAGAGGTAAGAAGTGTGAAGGCCTAGGCATTGTGGCACATGCTGCAATCCCAGTACTCCAGAGGCTAAAGCAGGAGAATTACTGGGAATTCTAGGCCAATCTCAGCTACATGGTAAGACCCTGTCTTTTAAAAAAACAGTAAGATCATGGGGCTGGGGTCAAGGGCAGTGGGAGAGCCCTCTTCAAAAGTCAGAGGTCCCCTAATTACATTGGGCACCATATGTCCTATCCCTGCCAATCTTGAGTCTTGCTGAAGTTGTCCAGGCCTATGTTTATACAAGCACGTGAGGTGCCTCCATAGCACAGGCAGAGCTCAGTCTCCATTGGTGATGGTCTTTGGAACTTTTTCAAACTACATTGCTGCATGAAGTCTACAGAAGTAACCAAAGAAAAGGACAAGTCCTTGGTCTGGATCCAGGCTGAACTAGGCTGTGTACAGTGGGGAGGACCCAGGGTACTGGAGCTCTGACTCCTGTATGACTCCATTCAGAGGCTTGTGGGCAGCTAGAGCAACCAGGCTCAGTCTAAGCCCTGGCCCTGTGCCCAGGATGGTTAGCACCAGCTCCTTACTATCCCTAGAGCTGCTGTATGAGGACGTGTTTGCAGTCTGGGAGGTGATCTGGGCAGCCAGGCACATCTCATCAGAGCACTTTGTCCTATTCATTGCTCTGGCCCTGGTGGAGGCCTACCGAGAAATTATCCGTGACAACAACATGGACTTCACCGACATCATCAAGTTCTTCAATGGTAGGAACTGGTCCTGTCTTCCTGGCTGCCTCCAGCAGGGGCCTGGGGGCTTTAACTCCTGGACTTCGCAGAGAGTTGGGTGGTTCTCAGGAATACTAGGGTTCCTTCCCCATTGGCAGGTCTCAAGAGCAGAGCAGGTAGAAACAGCAAGGTTATTAGTCACAGGGTTCCTCTTGGCCCACTGCCCTCTCCCCATAATTATCTATTGTTTCCTTCAGAGCGGGCTGAGCGGCACGATGCCCAGGAGATCCTGCGGATTGCCCGGGACCTCGTCCATAAGGTTCAGATGCTCATAGAGAACAAGTGAGGGCTGTACCCAGGGGCAGCATTGTGCAGAACCGGGTACCAGGTCCCTGAGCTCCAACACGAAGAGGCACAGGGCACTGCAGCCCAGACAGCCCAACCCCCACCAACCCTGTCTGCCCAGCTGGTTCCTAACAGTGATTGTGAGCCTGGATGCAACTGTGGGCAGTGTTAGCCCTGCAGGGCAAGTCAGGGCCAGGATGCCTGCAGATCAGGGCTGGGTGGGAGGGTTAGCCAAGGAGTGGCTACCTTGTGGGGGCACCTACTCTGTTCCCCTCTCAAACAACTGGGAATAGCCCCACTGCCACCTGTAGCCTCAGCCTGGACTGTTTCCCAATGCCTCTTTCCAATCCACTTGGGGCTCTATAAAGTTAGTTGGGGCTACAGTGCCTGGGCCCCATCTAGCAAGAGTTGCATGGGGCAAGGGGCTCTGTGCTTTATCTTTCCTGAGGTCCTTTGTGGTCTCCGTTATTTGCCTGTTCAGGCATGTGTCCTGGGAGGAGACCTGGGCTACCTTCAAGGCCCTCCTTAGACGGGGGCAGCCAAATATGGGCCCTGGGTAGGAGCAGCCCACCTCAGCATCACTGCCATTGCCTCTGGCCACCAGAGTGACCACAAGCACGCCACTTCCCATTGCATAGTGCTCCCACTCATGTCTGTATAGTGTCACTCTCCCCACCCTACTCTTGCTTACTGTATTAGCAGTCCTTTAGACTGTGCATAGGTGACACTTGCTAGCTCGGTGGTCTGGAGAGCAGTGGGAATGCTTGCTCTCCAGAGGAACCCCAGGGTGATCAGGAAAGCAGTCCTGCCACAGCTTCCTCTCAAGCACAGGCCTCTGAGCTTCGGGGCAGCCATCATCTGCCAGGTATCTGCTGAGTTCCTGGGGCTGAGGGAGGTAAAAGTGGCTGGGCCTTCCTAGTTCATCCTCAGTGAGAAACAAGGCCAGCTCTACCTTCCACATGCTTCTCGGGATGCTGAGAAGCCTAGGGACCCAGAAAGCCCCTTGGAGATGTTGCACTTGCAGGGGTGTCTGGAAAGACCCAGCCCTTCACAGGAGGCCTAGGCATGCTGCTTTTTCTGTCATACCCACTACCCAAGTACATGCAAGCTAGGCCTTGTGTTTGGGGACCTGACGCCTATACCTTGGCTGGCTCATGCTCAGACGTCACCAAGGTCTACAGACTCCCTTCATTTGAAAAACATGACAAAGGGCCAGCAAACCTTCTGCATCTAGCACAGACTTCCCCACCTTCCCCTGCCCCTGGGCACTGTGTGGGGCCAGCCCACCCCATTGCCTGCCCTTGTCCATGATTCCTTGGCCTCCACCCAGCACGGGTGGCCAGTGTGTGCCTGCCTTAGTGACTCAGTGGTTTTGTGAGGAGCAGAGTGTTTTCTTTTTGGCTCAGAAATTATACTCTTATTTAACAGACCAATAAACAGCATTTGACAATGTTTGAGGCTCTGGAGGCTGCTTGTGGGACCAACTATACACAGAATGGCTATGCATTGAAGAATTCTATATATTCCACAACAGTAAAAAGTGCCTGCTCCAAAAAGCGAGAATAGTGAAAGAGAACCAGTTTCCTAGAGGCCTCTAGCTTTGGGGCTTCATGGCATGAGCTGGTCAGCAGTCAGTCAGGTCCCCACAGTGCCATGGGCTCTCACCCCAGAACCATAAGTTTTACCTCAGGTTGAGCAGTGGCCACCAGCCTGTAGGTAAGAGTAAGTCATCGACTTGTTCTTTGTTCCCACACCCCCACCCCCACCCTCTCAACCTGGTGCAGTGAGGAACTAGATCTTGCTGAGGAATGACAGGAGTCTTTGGGTCCCATAGCCACTGGAGGACCTGCTCCTTTGGCTATGGTTCCTACCCACTGAGCACTATCTTTGAGATGCCTGGCTCAGACTGGGGGACGTGGCAGGACCGTGCAGCCCCTGCTGAGGTATAAAAATAGGGTCCCCTCCTGTTCTGCTATTCCCACCCCAGTGCTTTTGGCCCCATCTTTAATGGTTCTGTGGAACACTCGCTTTCTGGGCATTTAGAGTCTAATGCCAATTTCTCAGTCAAGGATTCTAGCCCGCAGCCCTAGCAGATTGACTCCAGCTGTGGAGACAGAACACAGACTGACTAATGGCCAGAGCTGCCCAGGAAAAACTAGGTGTCCTGGAGCTTGCCCAAGGGGACTTGATAGCAACATCCCTAAACTCTCCACTCCCTGGTGAATTCTGAATTCCTTCTGCTGTGATCTTCACCCATCAAAGGCCGGGCAGTAGCCTGGCTTCATACCCCACTATCCCTGCTCCACCCAGACTACCAGCTGGGTATGTAGCACCACAGCCAAAAGGGGGTCTGTGCCAGCCTTCTAGTAGCTGGCAAGACAGAGGCTCTGAAGACACTGTCTTCAGGGACACTCTGCAGTAAGTAAATGGAAGCAGGGGCTCTCTACTTGGACCTTTCATTTTCACTACCCACACCACAGCTCTGCAGTGGCCAGCTGCTATGCTGAGGGGCTGTGTGGATTTGCTGGCTGTGTATCCCCTGGCAGGTGATACTGCCAGGGCAGGGGATTCATCCTGTTCCCAGTGCTGGGCACAATAACAAGATTGAGTGGGCACTCAAAAAGTGTTCATTCTAACCCTAGTCCTTTGTTCACGCAGCACCAGTAGGCCACAGGACAGGACAAAGCTGTTCCTGAAGTTATCAGCAGAGGGAGCCCACATCTCACCAGTGAGAAGGGCTAATGAGCCTGGTAGGAGGAAGGAAATTGGGACTGATTTCTTGGCACAGGCCCTCTTCAGATAGATTCCAGATCATCTGTGGTCACACTCCTTCAAGGATCACAACCCCCACTCCCAGGAAGGATAGCGCACCCTAATTGGACTGAGAGCCAGATGTAGTCTTGGAGAAACTAGCCTGATCCACAACTAGGCACAGCTACCTGTTCCCTGGCCTTGTTTCTTCACCACTTAATCCCAAGACAACACTACCCAAAGCTTGGTTGGGAGAAGATGCAGCTTTGGAGTCAAGGATCTTCCATGCCCAGCTGAGATCATGACTTTCTAAGTCTGATCTCCCACCCTCTTTGAACTTGATGGACCCTCTGGAATGACTTGTCATGACCCAAAGTGGCTTCTTAGGAAAGCCCCTGACTTTCTGCACCAAGGTTCTAGGGGATACCATCTGCCTTCCCACTCTGTTCCTAGCAGGACAGGTAAAGGATGCCAAATGCTAGGGGAAATAATTTTACTGAGGGAACAATCAGAATGTAGTTCCAATGAGGTCCAAGAAATCTGTGACCGAAAGTCACTGGCCATGGCAAACCTGTTTTAAATGGGGTAGCAGTTTGGCTTTACTCTGCTGGGCTGCTGAAAGATTAAACAAGATGTTTTTAGGATGCTTTGAAGAAGTATACCGCCTTGCAAAAGCTTAAGGAAAACGTAGTATAGTTTCAGAGCTTAAAGCATGGGACCCAGATCCTTAGTGAAATTGTCTAGTGGTACCTCCCCAAACACCCCAGGGTAAACACAGCTCATGTGCTCTTTTAAGTTTATGTATATATGTGTACTTGTCTATATATGCACCACATGCATGCAGATACCCCTGGGGGCCAGAAGAGGGTGTTAGATCTCTAGAACTGGAGTTATTTGTGATTATTATCTACCCAGTGTGAGTGCTAGGAGCTAAACCCAGCTCCTCTGAAGAGCAGCAAGTGCTCTTAATTGCTGAACCACTACGTTCCAGCCCCATTAACAGGGTGTTAACTATGTAATCCAGCTAGCCCCTAACTCCATCCTACTGCCTCAGTCCCTCCCCTTGCTGCTTCCGGCTAATCTTTCCCTGCAGGCCTCTGCCTCTTGCAATGAAATGACCCAGATCTGCAGACTGGCAACTCCATCTCAGGTTTCAGTGCAGATTTATTTCAGTTTTATATTTTATTCCAGGCAAGTGCTTATTACATGGATAGAATTCATGTCTCAATACCTAAAGTCTTGGAGCATGAACAGCCACTAGAATACAGTTCAATAGTAAAAATACAATATGTACAAAATTAGGGTTTTTGTAGTTTTTTTTTTTTTTCCCACACAGCAGATGTATCCAAACACATAAAAATCTCTACAGTCTGGGGTCGCTACAATTCATATTTCAGGAAACAGAGACACAGTGACCGAGTCCTCACTGTAAACAAGGGCCACCTCTTTGGGGATTGGGGGTGGGACCCTGGGATGGGGAGAAGCAGCTGTTCCTAGACAGAGCAGGGGTTATGAGGACCCAACTACCCTCCTCCAGGCATTCTCTGCCCTTCTTTGGCCCCCAGGGAACCACTCTTCCAGTTTCCCGAGGTAAAGATCCCAGCCAGTGAGCCACTCCAAACAGCACAGGTAAAACACGCATGAGAGGTAAAGTGTGTAATCTGTGTGTGTGTGTGTGTGTGTGTGTGTGTCCCAGGCTGGAGGGGCTAGGGAGAGAAGGGCCAGGCGGTCCCACAGGGTGAGGACAGAGGTCCTAACAGCTCTCAGAGGGGAGCTGCCCAAGGAAGGGCTGGGAGGTGGCTGCCCACTCGGGCACACAGCAGTCACAGCGTTCACAAACGACAATGAAAACATCAACAACACCCATCATCACCAATCTGGACATAGTCATTCGGCACTAGATCTGGAGGACCCCCTATTGGGGGTGGGCGGGGTGGTGGATGATGAGGTATCTGTGCAGGCCTGAGGGCCAACACAATGGTTTTAACTCTGAACTGGCCTCAAGACACAGGGAGGGGTAAATAGGGCGGGGCAAGTTCATCAAAGTGGTCTGTACCAGCACCTTTTCTCTGTCTCAACATAGAACAGAGGGGAGCTGGCCCCCAGAGCCAGTGTGGGTGGAGGTGGCTGCAGGAAGGCAGCTAGCTTGTGGAGTGGGATTGCTGCACTGGGATGGAGGCCTGGTCCCACTCTTTCCCCACCACAGGAGACAAATGAAGTGCCCTGGGAAGTGTCCAGGGCCAGGAGGACCCAAGAGTTTGGAGGCATCTACTCCTTATCTCAATCTGTATTCAAGACCTTTGCTGCCTTAGCGCCCTGCTTACAGTATCCTCCCAAAGATTCTGAACCTTCCCTTTCTGGTCCCCTCTACTGCCAGGCCCTCAATGCCAACTTCATGCCTAGGGACACTTAATTCCTGCCCACACTGAAAGGCCATTGGTGAGTGTCCAGTGGAGAGCTGAATGTGCACACGTGTAATTGTCTGACACAAGGCCACTTGTAATAAATAACCACATAAAAAGAGAAGCCAAAGCTGTCTGCTATTGCAGAGGCAGGGAACACCATCCTCATCCCAATACCAAGCTGAGCCCTGTCCTTAGTAAAGGCCCTTTCCACAGTGGAAGGTGGTGGTGCACTGCAGCACCCATCAGGGAGGGGCCTCAAAATTGCCACCAGATGGGGAGGTGGGAAGAGAAGCTGCAGCTTCTTTTCCATGAGCCCCCCGGGGCCTGTGTGGGGAAAGGTTCAAGGTCTCCACCAAGCCCCCTGGATTTTAGCTTATAGATGCCTCAGCAATGTGGCTTAGGTCCTAGACCAGCTGCGGCTCCATGTCTTCTAAACTGCAGGCAGTACCCAAACCTAGAGAAAAGTACCGAACTGGACAGAGCAAGGAACCAGGACAGTGAATGCCAAGTCCAAGGATGGGGACCAAGGTACAAGCAGCTCTCCCTGCCAAGCCAGGCCAGGCCAGAGGAACCAGGGTGGGAAGCAGGGCTGCCAAGCTCTACCCTCCCAGCCCTAAGCTCAGCCTGCTCTCTCGAGGTCAGGAGCTCAGTGGCAGGGACAGGAAAGCTTGGCAACGGCTTGGGTTTTGTTTATTGTTGGTAGAGACTCATTTTAAAGTTTCTACTGTAACCAATCACAGTGACTACAAGTGGGTCAGAGAGCCCCAGGCCCAGGTAACCACCTGTCTGGGCTTGACTCCAGACCAAATACTTCTTAGATCTGTCACTTTGCACTCAGAGCCCCTCACCACGCACTACCCATTTTTCTGAGCCAAGTGGCTTCAGTTCTCCCTGTTTCCCCTCCAGAAGTACCAGTTGACTCTGAGGAGGGGAAGCTGAGGAGCTCAGCCATCTCACCAGAGCAATAGCAGCAGCAGCAGCACAGGAAGGCAGGCAGGGGAGGGAGAAGCCAGAGCACAGAGTCTACAGCGCAGACTTCAAGGGACAAGGTGGGGAGGCAGGAGTGGCCTTGGAGCCGGCACCAGGCTGGACAGGCACAACATCCACCAGAGTGTCCTCATGAGTCTCCACCAAGTCCAAGTGCAGCAGGGTAACCTGCCTGCACCCAAATCAAAGAGGGGCCCCTCCCCTGGCTCAGAGTCTCTGTACCCCCTTCCCCTAGGAGGCCTGGGGGTGGTATGGGTGGGGTGGGCCTGGCTGGAATGTGTGGAGCTGGTGGGTAGAAGAGGGACAGTCAGGCCCCCCTCCCTGCCCCCACTGGGGGCCTGAGTGGCCTCATCCTCAAGCCAGCTTGAGTGTGCTGACTGGGAAGGACGGCATGGTGACCATGGTTACAGGGTTTAGCACTGTCTGGCCCACCAGCTGGGGGTGGTGCACCACCTGAGCCCCCACAGCTGGCTTTGCCATGACAGTGGCTGGGGGTCCCAGCCCGGCTGTGCCATTCACTTGCTGGTGTGAGAGGGTGTGGGCAATGTGGCTCACTGCCACAGGCTGGCTCACCGCCACAGGTTGTGGGTACAAGGGCAGCTGGGAGCTGAGGTGGGCGACATGGTTGAGGGTTGCAGGGTGCACCGTGATGTGACCGATGGGAGGTGTGGCAGGTGCCAGCTGCACTGCAGGGCTGGGGGCTGAGGGGGCAATGTGGGCGATGTGCTTGCCACCAGGCCCCTGCAAAACATGGTTCACAGTCTGGATGACTGAGGCATGGGTGGTGGCTGTGTGGGCAATGACCGTGGAGCCACTGCCAGCTGTGGCCACCAGATGGGCTGGAGCTGGCACTAGTGTCTGGGTAGGGGTGGCTGGTGGGGGAGGAGGGCCTGGCAAAGGGGTCTTCTGCTGTGGTGGTTGCTGCTGCACAGCAAGGTGGGCAGGAGACAGGGCCACTGGGTGGGTGTGGGGGTGCGGGTGGGGAGGCAGAGGTGTGGGGGCAGTGCTCGGGGGAGGCAGGGTGGATTTCAGCAGCTCCGGCTGGGGACGATGGTTCATCTTGGGTGGGCCCAGGCCCGCCCGGTCTTCCTCCATCTCCTCGTCTATGTTGTCCTCACCCTCTGTAGGGGAAGACGGGGCAGGGAACAAGTCAGAAGGGCCTGAGAAACAAAGTGGTTGGAAGTACAGATGCCCTTGAGGGTCTGGAGATATGATGGACATGGGGTAACTAGCATCTTTTCTAGTAGTAAAAAGTCTATTCAGGGAAGCCAAGGATGTTTGAGGGTAACAGGACCAGCACCAGGACTGGGGCTCACCAGAGGCTGTGGAGGTGGAGGCCTGGTCATCCTCAGGCTGGCCTGTCTGCCGAAGCACACGGTCGATCTCCAGCACATCCATCCATTGGCTCAGCTCATGCTTGAGCTCTGCCAGTCGCTGCTGTGTGGCAATCTTCTCCCGTGCTAGTCGCTCCATCTCGTGCTCATACTCCTTCTCCTTCCTCTTCAGGGACTGAGGACAGGGCAAGGGAAAGCAGAGTACCCTGAGTGGCAGCCATGGGAACCATGGTTACCTCAAAATCTCTCCACATCAGCCAACCCACATGGACAACCTGCAGTGACTAGGGCAGTTGATACATCTGCCTTCTGCTCCAGCACTCTGCCCACCGAAATTCAGCAGCCCAAGCACTGGAAGTTGCCAAGCACCTCCTTTTTTTCCTTTTTGTCTTTTTGAAACAGGGTCTCCCTATAGCCCCGGCTGGCCTGGAACTCTCGGAGATCTGCCTGCCTTTGCCTCCCGAGTGCTGGGATTAAAGGCATGCGCCACCCAAGAAGGCTCAAGTACCTTCTAGGACCAAATGCCTCTGTGACCTCCAGCAGCACACAGTGGGAACCACTGAAACTAGCCCTGCCCTACTCTCTACCCTGACTTCTGAGGGACTTCACAGTCTCTGGCCCCATCTCACCCTCACAGCCTTACCACCATTCATCCTATTCTGCTCAATCACGGAAGCTACTCCCCAAAGAACCCCAGATGAACCTGCATGCCCTTCTACCTCACCGCTTACATGTCCCCGTTAACTTTGTCTTTGGAAGATGACCAATGAGAGTTTATGACAGTCCCCTCCCTGCAAGCTGCCTCATTCTCCTCCCCTCTGAACTGGCTGCTCTGCAGGGCCCATCCATGTTGCCTCTCCAGCTTGCTATGCACAAATTGCTCCCCATTCAGGACCCTGCCCATGGCCTGTAGACACTCCTGGCTGTTGAACTTGCAAGCTCTGCAGTGTGTCTACTGGCCAGTAAGAAATTATTTAGGGGCGGTGCATAACTCCCCAACTCTGGCTTAATACCCCTACAGGGACATCCATCCTCACAAGTTCCAGGCCAGCCAGCCCTTCTTCACCACACAGATGTCCCCACTTCCCTCAGAACACAGGAGGGGCTTCTCCCAAAATGGGCACTGCCCAGTCAGATGCCTTAGTAGTTCCCCTTTGCACACACTTAATAGCAGCTCCAAAAGGCCAGCTCCTGTCCCAGTTATCAGCTGCCTTCTATAATAAAGTACCTCCATGACCTCCAGACTCTTGACACTTTAGCCCAACTATGTCTCCTGGCCTAAGCTTGTCACCGCTGCTGTGTCCAGAGCCAAGGCAGATGCTCCTGCCCTTGCTGACTCCAGAGTTCATTTCTCAACCTGTTCCTGAGGGCCTAGCTTCCAGGGCACACAGGCCACATCCAGGGGCAGAGTCTATACCCACTTCACACACCAGACAGATCAGCTTGTCTTAGTTTTTCTCTCTGAACCATCTGCCCTGCTGCTGACAGATGGATCTTTTTTTTCAAGGACATCATTTGTTTATATATTTGCAGGGAGGGGCATAGATGCCACAGTGTGTGTGAAAGTCAAAAAACAAACTACAGGAGTCATTCTCACCTTCCACAGTTGCCATGCTTGGCAGCAAACACTTTTACCCAGCAAGCCATCTCAGTGACCAGTCCCTGGGTCTTTTCTGCTCTGTGACTACATCTGAGCTCCCACTTCTTCCATTATCCTTGCCCAGCCAGGATATCCTCCTGCCTCATAGCATCCTCATGTCTACCATATGCCTAAGAACTAAATGGGTGTGTCATTGGCCCTGGCTCACATGGCCACTGATACATGCCATCTGTGTATGTTTCACCAAACACTGGCCCTCAAGGTGTCTCTTCGAGGGATTTAAGAACTGTTCCACAGCTACTTTATACCCCTGACCCTATTGGTGGCCAGTACTGTGCATACTCATCACCCAGGGAAGGATCCATGTGCTTACCACACCACTCCTGGGTGAGAATGTCAACCCCTCACTGTCCCGTCTTCCCCTTCATTGCAGGGAGAATTAAGAGAGCCAACAGACTCAAATCTCCCTTTTCCACTCCCTGGAAGCTGCTTAACAGCTCTTCCTAACTGGGCATAGCAAAGCACTAACCCCACCCCCACTAGACCCTACACTTCCCCAAGCTCTTCTGGCAGCCCCCAAGTTCTGAACATTTCTGACACTTTAAAAAGTTCAAACTAGCCGGGTATGGTGGTGCACGCCTTTAATCCCAGCACTTGGGAGGCAGAGGCCTGTGGATCTCTGTGAGTTCAAGGCCAGCCTGGTCTACATAGTGAGTTCCAGGCCAGCCCCCCACGCAGGGAGACCCTGTCTCAAAAACACCCAAAACAAAAAAATCAAATTATCAGTATCTGCAACATGAGGCCAAGAGCCATGCCATGCTGGCTCTGACAAACATTAGTCCCAGACCACAGTCCCCCTCTACCATCCTGACTTTGGTTTAACCTGCTTCTCCCCCACTAGAAACAGGGTAGGAAAGACCCTGTCCTCCGCTTTCACCACATACACCTGCGCTGATGCTCACCTGTCTGTCCCTGAAGGCTGAACATGACATCAGGAGACGACATCAAGCAAAGGCTTTGGTGACTAAGTCCTCACCTTGAACCTGGTAGCTGGGGGCTAGAAGTGCTATCCTGAACTCTACCCACTGCTTGCAGAGAGGCTAAACTTCATCTGGGTCAGGAAGACAAAGTATCAGAGGCCAAGACCCTCCTTTTATCTAGTTCACCGGCCTAGAGGCCACTGAAAAGTTTCCCCAGGGTTGACTGTTAGTCCACACTGCTTCATTTTTGTTTGCATGCTAGGCAGGCACTCTACAAAAGCCCCCTGCGCAAATGGCTTCATTTCAAACCCATGTCTACCGTTCTTGACTGTGTTCACTTCACTGTGGCTTTCTTCAAGTCCTTTACTACCTGCAAGCAACTCCGGAGTCCAGCTGGGTCTTACTGCCCTCCAACAGTCTCTGGACACGCTATCAAAGCCCTGGGTCCTCAAGGCTCCCGTGCAGTCTCCAGGACCAACTTTCAACTCTTGCCTAGTACCTGCTGCCCCTTCTCAGCATGGCAACTCTCCTACCATTTTCCATAAATGTATCCTTTTCCTCCTGCTGGAAAAACAATGAACTATGCAGGACTCAATCCTCCACTTTTTTTCACCCAGATGTACCCCCCTCCCACCTTTAAAGCAGGGTCTCACCAGGTAGCACTGGCTAGCCTGAAACTCACTAACTCAGGCTGGCCTCCAACTCACCAAGATATGCCTGCCTCTGCCTCCTAAGTGCTGGGATTACAGGCATGTACCACCTACCACATGTACCACCTACCACATCTAGCTTAGCCAGATGTATCATGTATCTAGCAGGTCTCAAATGTCCTATCCCTAGCAACAACGTCCCTAATCCCCCAGAACTGATCCTGCCACTCCTGTCCTTACTGTGCCCTCATCACACACATTCAGGTTCACATTCAGAACCTGACCCAAGAGCAAACCCACCAGGACAGGAATCCACCCTTGTTTCTTTGCTCCCTAATTTTCAGCAGACCCTGATTAAAAAGACTTAAGAAATAAGTGAAGGAGTGACTAGAGGGTTTCCATGACCAGCACCAAGCAAGCATTCTCATGGACAGCCTGGGGCCCCTCCCACTTTCTAGTCCAGGCCCGACGCTAGGGAGCTTCATCCTGCTTCTTCTACTGAATCTGAGTTATTTTCAAATCCACGTTATCCAAGGCTCTCCATCCCAAGCATGTCTCTGTAAAGAGGGACTTGCCTTCTTCTACCTCCTACTTCTCAGTCACAATTCCTATTGATGTTTAGGGTCCAGAATAATTAGCAGAAATTTCAATTCTTCAAATATCTCTATGGCACTATTTTTCCTATTTAGTATCATTAAACAAACGAGGAAAATGACATTCACTGAAAATGTTGCTACATACAACAGGATTGCTAAGAGACCACATAGCTGAAGACAAGTAAATTACACCCACACTTAAATTCTGCAAAATGATCGCTGAAATAAGGTCTGCAGTCTTTCACAGCCCCAGTGGGGCCCCAAGGGCCGCCAGAGGCCCCGCCTCCTCCGAGCACGCGCGCATCCACGCGGACCGGCTCTGCTGCGTCACTCCCCGCCCTCCGCACCCGGCACAGCCAACCCTGGAGCCAGGCCCCGCCCCCCGGCTGCCGGGAAGCGACCTGGAGGCGTGCCAGCCCCTACCCTGCCCAGGAGGCGGGCGGAAAGGCGCGGGTTAGCAGGAGGCGCGGAGGGAGCAGCGGTAGCGGCCGACTGAGCGACGCCTCCTCGCCTCCTCGCCCCCTCCCCCCCAGCAGGCCCGGTTGGTTACCTCGCAGCCGGGCGCCCCTCCCAGGTGGTTGTGACGGAGTCCCGCTCCCCGCAGCATCCCGAGTGGGCTGACAGGGAGACCTCGAAGCTTGCCCTGAGCGGGCCGCTAGGCTCTCGAAGTCCCTCCCGTTCTCCATCCAATGGCTCAGGTCTCTGCGGCAGCCGAGCGTGGCCGCCCACCCCATCCCCCACCGCTTCGGGGGCACGCGAAACCATATGCAGGTTTCCAGGGAGACCGAAACTCCAGGCCGTCATGGCAACTGCCCTATCTGGCATCTCCTCGGTACTGCGGAGGGCCGCCGATGCCCAAAAGGGAGAGCAGACAGCCAGAGGGGGGTCCTTGCTTTCCACACGCGGGAGTCGGGCGTAGTGCACTTTAGTGGTGCCATCCGCGGACTGCGTTAGAGCGCTTTAATGCGCCATGCCCCGACATCTTAATCCACGAGGGGCTTCACCTGCCGACTGCCACGTAGCCGGACACACCCCATCCTTCCCGATCTACTTCCCCCACTAGTGATAGTCCCTTGGCCCGCTTCGTGCCCTGGTCACGCGGTCACCGGGGGCCTGGCACCGGGTTTCCAGCCCCCGAACCCACCGTGGGTCGCACGGACGTGGGGGAGGGGAAGGCTGGAGAGCGCCGCGCCAGTGACCTCCCGCGCACGCGCGCGCTTCCGCCCCCCTTCCTGGGCTGGGAGCCCCGCTGACGTCAGCCGGGCCATGTGCTCAGCGCCCGCGTGGAGACGGGCGGGGGAGCCAGCAGCGCGGGAGGGCGGGGCGAGCGAGGGGCGGGAGGGGAGAGCGGCGGGCAGGAAGAAGCTGGCGCAGCGACCATGCAGCACCACCCGGCCCGGCCTCCCTCCCGCATACCTGGATGTACCGCAGCGCCGTCCGCAGCACGCTCAGATTCGACGTCTTCTTGTCGTCTACGTTAGGGATATTGCGCTTCAGGGTTTCAAAGCATTCCTTCAGATGGGCCCTCCTGGGGAAAGAGTGTTGGTCAGCCAGAGCCAGAGAAGACAGGGCTGGGGGCGGGGCAAAACCCAGGGGGAAATTTGCAGAACCAAGCACGGGTGGGTGAGTCCCGGGAGGGAGGGCCCAAAGTCACACTCACACACACCTGTTTTTCTCCAATTTGTTGTGGACTTCTCTGGTTCCGATCCTGAAACCCAGACAGACAGGAGGCTCACTGAGGGAGGAAGGCCCAAATAGGTGGCTTTCCTGATCCCTGTCATCCTACCCCTCCCCAGCCACCACTTGCCAAGTGCCACAGCTTTCTGTCCCCAACATTCTCTATAAACTAGAGGTTTCTGCCTTGGACTGAGCCCCATCCACCCCCTGAAGGGCGCATCTATGGCTCAACCCACAATCCCTGGAACCCTCCCCTCCCAAGAGTCCAACTAAAGAAAGACAGAAGGAATCCTGGGAGTAAGCAGCAGCCAACCCCCGCCCATAACCTGAGTACTTTCTCCAAAGGCCTGGAAATGCCACAAGCTGGGGGGGGGGGGGGGCCCAAAACAAGAAAGCCCCAAGGTGGGGGGGGGGGGGGTGTCAGACAACACAGAAGCCCAATAGAAGGCAATAGCCATTCCTTCGCAGGGTTGTGTTTTGCTGTATGGGGCATTACTAGAAGGGCTAGCTGGGAACAGTTTCTTCTCTTGCACACACAGCCCGGGGTGGTGACCACTCCCATCCCACGGCCCCAATGCCATACCCCACTCACCCCCCAGGCCTCTTCTTCTGTTCACTGGATTTGACTTCTTCAGCTGGTGCCAACTTCAGGGTCCCAAGCGTGGGTGGGGGTGGCTGCTGGGGGGCCAGCTGAGGCTGGACTCCAGGGTGCGGTGCTATAGTCAAAATGGGTGTGGGGAGGGGCTGCAAAGGCTTGGGACTGCCAGTGGGTGCAACTGTTGTCTTTGAGTCAGGCAGTAAAGGAGCAGGGGTGGGCACCTGGGGCCTGGTGGGCAGGGGAGCCGGCTCCTTAATGCTGAGTCCAGGGGTGCTGACCAGAGCTGGCTGACGAGGTGCCAGGGGCAGGGGCTGGGCTGCAGGAGGTAGTGGCGGGGGCGGGGGCGGCGGCAGAGACTGAGGGGAGTTGGTCACTACAGGAATAGGAATGACGGTCAGTGGGGTAGGGGTGGCAAGTGGTGGCGGTGGTGCCGGTGGTGGTGCTGGTGGTGAGAGGGGTAGGGGTGGTGCCTCGATGCGGGGTTCTTCCACAGGCAGGGCATGGGCCAACCTGGCCAGACTACTGGCCTTCTTCTGCTCCTGCTCTCTCTCCCGTTCCCGCTCCAATCGAAGGCGCTCCTGCTCCTCTACACAGAGAGAACACACAAAGGTCTTAGCAGAGCCTGCAATCCTGGACTCCTATTTAACTTGTCCTCCAACCCTAACCTTGTCCCAGCCGGTGCTCAGTGACACCCTGCCCAGCCTGGGACACCAGACAAACCCTAGCTTGTCCAGCACTGAACAGAGAAAGAAGGCCTAGTCCCTGTCACTGAGGAGCTCACAGCCTGGGGCAAAAAGGAATAGAGGTGACAGGCTGGGCTAGGGTAAGACAGGAGTTCCTGGAAAGGTCAGCAGGAGGTATGAGGAGATGCTGCAGGCCTGGCAACCTGTAGCTGGAGGAGCTAGGCAAGTGAGTGAGTAGGTGGTATCCTTAGGGGCAGATGTAGAAGTTGGAGAGCTGGTAACAGGCCAGGCCACCACAGGACAACAACCACCTTCTACAGAATTTACCAAGCACCTGTTGGATGGGAGGGCAGTACCTTTCTTTCACAGATGAGTAAATGAGACAGAGAGGCAAAATGATTTGTTGATTACACAGCAAGTCTCCTGACACCTAGCCAGATGCCCTGTACTTGTGTCATTGTAAGCCCGATGGGTATCTTCTCCTGTCTTTCCAAAAGCCCCAGGTTACAGGGCAGACACATCACATTCACTTCTTGAGGAAATGGGCCAGGACTCTTGACTCCCAGACTATGTCCCAGGACTTCAGTTTTTCTCAGGAAGTATTCAACACTTCAGTTGCCCCTTCTCCTAACTTGTTACTAAGCCATTTCTCTCAATCTCCCCTCTTCTGTGTTCCCTGCCACACCTGCAGCAGGAACAGTACAATCTAGAAAGGTAAGAGGCAGGCAGAAAGGAAGACTGGGTAGAAGCAGTAGAAGTTGAGCAGGGCCATTGAATTCAGGCCACCCCCATGGACATTTCCTTCAGCATCTCTACTGAAAGATCAGCAAAAAAGTGAGACCTGTTCAAGAGCTGGTTGAAAACAGAATGCCCACCTCACTTGCACCATCTGAGCCTCTCCCAGGCCCTATCATTAGGTTTCCTGGCTACAGAGCAGGGCTGGGCCACCCCTCCCCGCAAGCAAGGGAGGAGCCCTTCTGCCTGTGGCATTCACCACTGGGCTGACAGCATAGGGGGTGGACACACCCCAACCTGGCCACATGATGTGGGGATGGGGCTAAGTCCTCTCTAGGGAGGAAGGGAGCAATCCCCCCTCCATCCTCAGGTCTTTCCAAGCTCAAATGCCCCAGGCCTTTTGGCCAGGGGACACTTTGAGAGGAGCTGGTGTGTCTCTAGCCCTACAAAGTAAGGAAGAAGCTAAGGAGGATGTAGAGGGGAAGTGTAGAAGGAAGCACAAAGCTGTTTCCCAGCAGCCAGAGTTCAGGACTGCTTTCAGTGGCCTCTTCCTCTCTCTCCTGCCCTTCAGGAAAGGGAGCAAATCAAGCAAGACAGGTCTTGCTCCAATGAGAGGGGGCCTTGCTCTCTCATGCCTCTCTCCCTATCAGTACTGGCTTAGTTACAGCCCCTGAAAAAAACTGCTCCCTGCTCCAGGTTCCTACAAACTACACTGGAAAAGAAGCCTGCTTAGTTCTGTCTACAAAGCCAGCTGCACCTGGCACATCCCTCTACCTCTACTTCTTTGACTGACTCAAACTTTAACTTTAGGAGTCAGTTCTTTCCTTCTACCATGGGTTTCTGGAATTGAACTCAGTCAGGCTTGAGTAGTAAGCACTTTTACCAGCTGAGGCATCTCACTGGCCTTGACTACCTACATCAAAGTGAGTTCCAGGCCAGCTGGGCTACAGGGAGACCCTGTCTCAAAAAGACCAAAATAAAATGTTTTATTTATTTAATTTTTTATGTGTATAGGTGTATAAGTGCACCCGTGTCTCAAAATGCCTGCGGAGGACAGAAGAGGCTTTCAGATTCCCCGGAACTGGAGTTATAGACAGTTGTTAGCTGCCATGTGGGTGATGGGATTCAAACCCTGGTTTTCTGCAAGAACAGCCAGTGCTCTTAACCACTGAGCCATCTCTCTAGTCCCTCATCAGCAATTTGATCACTAAAACTGTTTAAAATTGTTACGTATGGTGAGTTTTTGAAAAAGCCTATCAGTGCTTGGTGGGATTTATTATTGTTTGTAATTACACTACCAACAATAAATGTTCATTCTTACCTGTTTCTGGGATAACCCCAC